AACAGAATAAAGGGCTCATACAAGTCTGGTTTGTAACACATGAAGCTCATAGAGACTGTAGGGGTTGTACTAGACAATGTTATATTTCCATTAGTTAAATCATGTCGTACAGAATCATTAAACAAACCAAACTGATCAAGCTACAAACATTAACATTAGAATTAGCTTCACTTACCTCCACTGAGCCCTGAGCTTCCCGACCACCGAGAATCCACCGAAGCATGACTTCGTGTTTTAGAGACAAACGTAAGCTGAAAAAAAATAAAAAAAGCCAGTTTAGGTAAGAACTGCCTTAAATGTGAGCCCAGAATAAGGCTTAACGTTGGTAACAGACCAGCTAGCCAGCTAGCTAACGTTACAGGTGCACTGCCTCTCACCAGTCATTAGCGTCGCAGTGGAAAACCCCGAAACGCTGTCACTTAAAGGAAAGTCGTGTTTGTTGCCTCGTTGGAAGATGCTGACATGTAGTGCCTCGGTTTTTAATTTCATAAAAAACTAACAAAAGTCACGCTAATACGGTTATATTAAAGCTACATGTTGTGCAAGATGAATTTCAGTCACAACAAACCGCTCATGTGACTCAAAGTACGGAAGCTGTTGACGGACAAGATTCACGGAAGTCGACTAATATTTGGGAAGTGAGAGTCCAGACTGCTGCTGTCAGGACATTCTGGTGCTTTGTGTTTCTCTCGACGACATTTACTTGCATGTATTATTGTATTCATTTATTTGTCGTGTTTTTAAAGATCTTGTCCTGACATATTTTAAAGCTTTGATTTAAGTGAAGGGGCTTGAAACAGCCCAGCCCACAATTCTTTAATTTTACTCTTTCAGTTGCATCATTTCAGGTTATTTCATGGCAAAATTAATATAAAATGTGAGACACTGTGTTCCAGGGGCTTTGCCCATGTTTCACGGTAATATCACAGCAGTTCTCTGTATGCTTGGAATTACACTTATGATGATTTACAGTTGTGATTGGATACAAAGGTGTGACATATAGACTGTGTTGCACTGAGCAGTGTTTTGGATTCACTGATTGACTTTGCTGAAGCTACATGATTTAAGTGCTTTCTTGAAAAGTATGTGTTGCAGGTGTCAGTATCCTGGTAAAAGTCACTTCTAAAGCTTACCTCATGTGTTTTGTAGTTTTCTTTACATGTTACGTACATTTATTTTTACGTTTTCTTTTTTTTATTATTGTTGATTTTTACTCACATTGTCTTTGGCTTCTCCGTTATATTTAAGAAACACATCACATTTGTTATCCTGGCTTTCTTTCTCTTTCTGAATCAGTGGATAGTGCTATAAAACATTTGACTCTCCTACCTTTAGATTTTCTGTACTGGGCAGTTATGAGATTTGACTGTTTTGTAAAGCAAAACTTTTATTTTTTTTTCTTCTTAATTAAAATTTGAGGCTATTCATTAAACTGTTTGGGGCTACAGCCTGGGACGTTCAGGCCTAATGCCACCTGTGTCTTCTTTAATGATTCAGAATCTATGTACATACAAACTGTGGCAAAAAAATAAATAAATATCCCAATTAGGGCCGATGGCCCACTCACTTGTCATAAAATCGTCTTTTTTTAAAATCTTTTTTTTCTTTGCTTTTTCAGTATAATGAATGTAACCCAATCCCATCCCAGTAGTAAGGACTTTTTGCTGCAGGGTCTTCTGGGTAATGTTACATTAAACCCTGAAAGCAGAGATTTTATAATGATAATAATAAACCTTACATATAGCAAGTTTTTTTTTTTATCATAGTCTTATAATTTTTACAAAGTGCAAAGAACTTTTTTTTAAAAGAAAAAAATAACATTTTTCTTTTTTTTTAAAAAAATATATCAAATTACAAAATGAATAAGAATGTCCCAAGTGAAAATAAAAAGAATCAAATCTACAGTAAAAAAAAAAAAGCACAAACTTCCAATCTGCGGGGCTGTGACAGAATTTGGTCTTTAGCCCGGTTTTACAAATAGCCTGAAGAACTGCATCAGGGAAAACAAATCTTATCACAAAGCTAGAAAGAAGGTTCAACTTAATCAAATGAAATGGCATTTGGTTTTGATAGTCAAAACCTGGTCAAACCTATTAGGCTCAATGTACAGTTGATTTTCTAGAAAAAAACAGGAAGCAGTTCGTGAGATACGACCAAAGTTTCCATCGGACACTGTTTATATATGACAAAAAGTGACACTGCAACCTTCTCAAGAGAATCTAACCTGCAAAACTAAATAAAAAGTAGCTCATTTTAATGGAAATCTGGAAATACTGCATGCAAATATGTTTTATTTCAAGCAACAGTCAAGAAAAATGACTCTTGCACGTATCGGTGTGATTTAAAGTCAGCACAGAGAAACTTTCCCCTTCAGATACCTTCTAGCGTCAAACCCTGCACATACATCATTCTGCACAGTGAAGCTCAAACATCCAAGAGGAGCAAAAAAATAACTAAATCACATTTTGGAGTGGAGGGTCAGATGAGTTTCTGGGCGCTATTCACCTTCTTACAACTAGATGGCAGTGTGTCACAATCCCACGAGATCAGGGGAAGGTTCAAACCTCTATTAGCAATGGAAAAGCAAATATTTTTCCAGCTGTTTCATCTTGTATTTAAATAGATTATGAGTATAATTCTTGAAAGATCCAACCCATAGCATTTCTTTCATTCTCCTGTGTAAACTGAACACACTCTCATCTTGCTTTTCCTTATTTCTACTCTCCCTTCGTGTGATTTGTGCATGAATGTTGACCTGCTCTCCATCCAAACCTTCTTCCACCTCCCTACAACCTCCTCCTCTCCGCGTATCCCCTGTTAACACACACACAGAGTCACACATCAGCCGGGCTGAGTCTGCTCCCCAGATTGAGACGACACGCAGTGTAGGGCCTGTGACCTTCATGGTGGCTCAGATCTGCGGCTGGCACTGATTTCTGATTTAGTGTCGATCCGCCGCGCTTGTCAGGGGCTGCGAGGTGCTTTCCATGCGGTAATAGAAAAGCTCAAGGGCGGCTAGAGAGAGGAGGAGGGTTAGGGAGAGGGATTGGTTGAGGTGCACTGAATGGGTTTCTGATGTGAGAATGGGCTAGGCTCTGTTTGTTTAACTACAGTGTCTGTCAGGGGTCTGAATGGATGGGTCAGATAAGTAGATTCCACACGAGTGTTCAGAGTCGGTGTAAAATGAATACAAAAGATGTGAAGATATGTGATTCAAGTAGTAGCACCGTTAGGCCTGAGTGTCCGAGGCTATAGCCCTCAATGTTTTACCAGTAGCCCCAGATCTAAATTTGTTGTTGTCGTTGTTATTTGGTTTGTTTTACAAAAGAAAGAATTGTTTTTTTTTTTTTTTAAAAGAAGAAAAAAAACAACTCTGGATCTATTGATCTGTCATTTCAATCATGTTCCTCAAAAACGATCAAAAACACTGGAATATTAATTTATTTTTGTGTAAATCTGATCTGTTCACGAAAATAAAAACATTTTCTGTCACATCAAGTGTTTTATTACATGTGTTTACCTGTTTCACAGCCTCACAGCAGGATATCTGCAGCAGTGACATTAATGCATCTACGGATGTTTCTCCATAACGACATACAGAACTTGGCCTCAACCGAATATGGCAGCAGATAGCTAAGTAGCATATGAACACATCTTTTGTTTTATTCTATGTTTCCATAGTTAGGTGAGTTATCATTAGGCTATAGACAGAGTTTTGGGTGGGGTTTTTTTTCAGCAACACAGATTATTGTTAGTTATTTATTCAGTGTGATGTGTTGAAGGACTTTATGCGTGAACGTTTTCTCGAAGCAGCATCAGCATCTCTTCTCCTGGACTATTTAAAGGGTCAGTCACTCAAATTACTATTAAATTAAATTTATGAGAACAATTATTTCTAAGGAACACCTTTACATCTTGTTCTAGTTCTGTATAGTATATACATAAGACTAGCTTTAATGCACACAGTTTGAGAACTGCTGCCATCCCAATTCTTCTCTCATATTCATGTGGAACATGGACAAAGCATTGAAAGAAAGTAGGATGACCTCTCTGCAGGGAAATAACATCATTTTAAAATCTAAAGACTGTTGGACTGAGCTGAGCCTACAAACATCTGTGTGAACATCCAGAACCAGATTATCTAGATTGTTTTCACCTGACTAGATCCTTGCTTGTGTTGTATCTGCTCTCAGATCTACGTCGCTTTGGATAAAAGTGTTTGCCAAATGAAATTGGAGAATTGGAGAACCAGCAAGGCTCCAAGCACCTTGATGTTTGCAATTAAATGCTAATGCTAGTGTTTGCTAATTAGCACAAAACACAAAGTAAAGCTGACAAGAATGTCATTAACAGTGCAGGCATGTGGCATAAAGCAAAGGACAAATCAAATATCTTCCCTGATCATGATAATAGATGAATGGTCACAAAATAGCTTACACTTTGGACATGAATGTTTGTATGAAATTTCATGGCAAAGTGTCCAGTTGTTGTTAATGTATTTCACTAAAATCCAAACATGCTTTCTTCAGGAGATTGTTTTCTGCTCTCGCAATGTCCTAGTCCAGTAGAAGTCCTCATTCACCATACAGACATCCAATTTCATCGTACAGGCTAATCTAACAAACCTCCACTGTTGTATTCCCTTTGTCCTCTGGAGTTACGTTCAGTAGCTTCTGTTTGTTGCTGCTTTGGTGCATTTAGAGTTAATGTCATTGTCAAAGCTTTCAGATCCTACCCCACAGTGGAAATAGAAAGTCTGAGAGGGTTAATACGATATTGTTCCTGCCTAGTTTCTGGAGTGGAAAGTCATCAAGACACAGTGTGTAGGAATCAAGGACGTCCATACAAAAATGATATGCCAATCCAAGAATAAGTGGAAATTTTGACCTACTGGTGGAGGTACATGAAAAGCCAAAGAATTAACAAAAATCTGTAGTATGCCCCCTTTTGTTACCATTAATATCTGACCCAAATCGCATAGCAGTCCATCCACTATTTGATATTCGAGACTGGACCAAATTGCATCCATTGGGAGACCTACTACCCCTGTAGTCATGGTGGTAACAGGGCTTTAAAGGATGTTGAAAATGCAAGACATCTGAAAAGTACAGCAAAGGAGGAAGGTAGAGAGAACACAAAAGAATTTACGCAAGAGATTCGGAAGCGCAAAGGAAAGAAATGGCAGAAAAGGAAGGTAGTGGCTGAGTGCAGTGACCTTGGTGTGGTGCAGACGAGGTGTCAGACATGACCAATGGCAGGAATCAGCTATGAGGTGAAGTCATGATGCGACGGCCACCGAAACGCTCACAGCACTAAAGACCGACTGAGAGTAAGAGCCAGAGAGGAAAAAAGTCCGCCTGCTCCTTCTTCCTCCGCTATAGCGGCTGATCTCATCCCCCCTATCTCTGGCCTGTAAGGAAAACAAATGGTTATGATGATGGAAGAGGAATTAAGTTGTAATTTAACAATGGGCCAACAGCAGTTTTCAATAACAGTCTCCCTCTCCTGCTGTTCAGAGGGGTCTTGTAGCAGAGAGGCTCATTCCTGACCAACACACTTCACTGTCCCTCTTCATCAGG